TAGATATCATAATGTCTTCAAGGTTCATCTGTGTTGCAGGACAGGTCAATCATTTCTTCTTCTTCTTCTTCTTTTTTAAAATAGACTTTTTTTTTTAGATCAGTTCTAGGTTTATTTCAAAATCCAGAGGAAGGTATAGAGATCTCCCATATACCTGCTGCCCTCCCACATGTATAGCCTCTCCCACTGTCAGCATCACTAACCAGAGGGGTACATTTTTAACCAAGGATGAACCTACATTGACTCTTCATTATCACCCAAATTCCATAGTTTACCTTAAGGTTCACTTTTGATGTTGTTGGAATGGGTTTGGAAGAATGTATACTGACATAAAGGGTGGGGAAAAAGTAGGTTTACAGATGTTCGTCTAAGAAACAATACAATAGTTAATAATAAATAAATAATAACACAAGAATAAACTGTTTTGCGTACTCATAAATGTGAAACTACTTTTCCCCCACCCTGTATATCCATCATTATAATATCATACAGAAAATTTTACTGCACTAAAAGTCCTCTGTGCTCTACCTGCATTCTTTTTTATAGGTATATATTATTCCACTGTAATGTTATACTGCATTTTGTTTATCCATTTATGAGCTGATGGACATTTGTTTTGTTTCTAGTTTTCTATTATGAATAATGCCTCTATGAACCTTTTAAGATGTTTTTTACGTAAACATATGTTTTCAGTTCTCTTGGGTATATATACCTGTTTTGGAATTTCTGGACCATAAGGTAACTATGCTTGATGTTTTGAGGACTTGTCAAAGTGTTTTCCACAGCAACTTGCGCCATTGCCTGCTGGTAATGTACAAGGTTTCTGATTTCTCCAAATCCTCTGCAACACTTGTTAATGTCTTTGTTTTTGATTATAGCCATCCTAGTGGTTATGAAGTGGTATCTCATTGCGGTTTTGATTTGCATTTGTTTAATAACTGATGATGTTTAGCATCTTTTCCATGTACATTTTGCCCATTTGTATATCTTCTTGGGAGAAATGTCTGTTCATGTTTTCCATTGTTTAATTTGGTTGTTTTTTTAAAAAAAGATTTTAAATTGATTTTTAGAAAGAGAAAGGGAGAGGGATAGAGAGAAACATCAATCGGCTGCCTCCTGCATGCTCACTACCGGGGATTGATCCTGCAACCAGGCATGTGCCCTTACTGGGAATTGAACCAGCAGCCCTTTAGTGTATGAGACAATAACCAACCGAGCCACACCAGCTAGGGCTAATATGGTTATCTTTTGATTGTGGAGTTTTAAGAATTCTTTGTATATTATGGATACTACAACCTTATTAGCCACTGACACCTTATTAGCCTCTGCAAAAAACTTAAAGTATGAAGAGCATGACTGAGTTTGTTTTGAGATGACACATAGCATCCTTCTCTTTCTTTTTGTCTTTGTAATTGCATTTTTAAGAGTATGATTGGCTCTTTCAACTATTGCTTGACCTTGAGGGTTGTAAGGGATACCAGTTTTATGACAAATTTGCTATTGCTGATTAAAGTGCTGAAAAGCAGAACTAGTGCATGCAGGTCCATTGTCTGATTTTAGCTCTAAGGGAGGTCCTAGTATTGCAAATGAGGCTAAGCAAGGACATCCATTTGTTATATTTGATTAGCTTTAAGACCCCTAGGATTAACCCCTAACGATTGTACAGGGCAATGAACCACACACTGAGAGCACTGCTTAACAATTTGATGAGCTTGCTTTCGAGAAATACGGAACTGTGCAAGGCAGCAGCATTTTGATGATGCAAAGTATGGGAGCACTAGACAAGAGCAAGTGGGGTAGCCTCTTGCATTACAGCAAGGAGGCGATCAGTAACCTCATTTCCTATAGCTAACGGACCAGAGAGACCTGAATGAGATCAGATATGACCAATAAAGCAGGGAAATTGTCGTTCTCTAATGACCTTTTTAAGGCTGAAAAATAAATGAAAGAGTTCCTCTGATTTAGTGTGCCCTATAATAGCTGTTTCAATAATTTTTGCCATACCTACCATACAAGCACTATCACTATATAGGTTGATGGGCTCCGTAGCAAAATCTGTCAAAGCATAAATAAGAGCTTGTATTTCCACCCATTGTGCTGAAATATAAGGGGTTTGAAGGAGTTTTGCCTTAAGATCTCTAATACCAATAAGTGATATTTCAATGGGATGCCTGTAGGGGATGGTAACACCAACTGAAGGGGCTCCGTAATCTCCATGGTTTTATTAATTGCCCTCAGGTCTTGCAATAGTCTCCATTTACCAGATTTCTTCTTTATTACAAATATGGGCCTGTGAGTGGGTTCCATATGCCCTGCCTCAAGTTGTACTCGAACCAACTCTTGTGCAGCTTTTAACTTCTCTCCTAATAGGGGCCATTGATCAACCCAGACAGTGATATCTGCAAGCCAGGTCATTTTAGCTGCTGTACACTGGGTCGGAGAGACGATTAAGACCCCTGTTGAAAATTCTGGTAACCCAATCCATGCCTCCCCTTTTGAGTGGACATCCGGATAGATGAACACCTCCCTTGCTGATTCTTCCCCAGTCCCTTTAGGGGGTGGAATCCTTGATTAAGCGTTTGAGAAGTAACAATGGAACTGGGACTTGTTATTAAAACCCTCATCTGCTCTAGCATATTCCGTCCCCATAAGTTAACAGGTAAATGTTGTAATCCATAAGGTTGAAAATAGCCTGTACTTCCATATGGATCTTCCCATCGAAGGAGTTGAGCACTCTGCTAGGGTTGGGTAACATACCCCACTCCTTGCAATTCAGAAGCCGTGGGGTTTAAAGATCAGGCCTGTGGCCAATGTCTGAAGGCAATGACTGACACATCAGCTTCGGTATCTATAACCCCTTTAAAAGGCTTCCCATTAATCCTTATTTCTAACTCAGGCCAGCCCTTCTTGACTATTTTCGTCCAGTATACTGCACCACTGGACCCAAGGCTCACTGCACCTCGGGGCTGACTGGTCAAAGGCCGCCCTTCTGGATAGTAGGGCAGAAGGAGAATTTGTGCTATTTTTGTTTCTGGTAAGACCTGAATTATAGTATTAATTGTTTGTGCCATTACTTTAGTTTCTCCAGTATAGTCCTGATCTATCACCCTTTCAATGTTAAACTGCTCCTCCCTAAAATTAGTCCCATCATGCCCAGAGGAAGGGGACCATACACTCCCGTGGAATAGCCTGAGGCCCATCTCCGGGGTTAGTACATATCCGGAGGTGGGACAGAGGTCCAATCCTGCACTTCCCAGGGTGGCACGGTAGAGGTCTCGGATGGTTGGATTTGGGCCTGAGCTGGCTGGAAAGGCTGCAGTGGGGTCAAGGATGAGGCCCCTACTGTTTGGTGGGGCTGGGGCTGGCCCCACTTGTAGTTTCCCTGCCTAGGGGGCAATGGATTACCATCACCATCAGTCTTGGAGTGGCATTCATTTACTTAATGCTTTCATCTCCTGCATCTTGGACATAGTCCATGTTGTTTGTTTCCACTCCCTGTAGCCTTTTGACTTTCATTTTTAGCTTTACAGTCCTTAGCAAAATGCCCTGCCTTACCACAGTTAAAACATCCCTCTTTCTGATGACCAGCAAGCAATACCTCCTTTAACTCGGCAGCTAATGTCACTCCTTGCACGTAAGCTGGTCCAATGTCAGCACAAATACGGATAAAATCATGTACAGTACCGTTCTTCCTGTATGGACGTAAAGCCTCTTGACATACTCTATTTGCATTTTCAACAGCTAATTGTTTCAGGAGTATCATTTCAGCCTCGGGGTTAGCCATAACCCTGCCTACAATGGCTTGGAACAAGGGAGCCACAACATTCTGATATGGCTCCTCAGGTCCCTGCCTAATTTTACTTATGTCTAAAGATTTTCCCCCTTTTGTTGGCAGCTGCCTCCAGGCTTTGGTGGCACACATATTTATTTGCTGATAAGCTTGTATGGGGTATACGAACTGAGTCTGCAAAGCCCCTTGAGGTTCAGTGCCCATGAGCATATCAAATATAATGGGTATCTCATGAGCTTGGTTTCTGTTAGCCTGTTCCGCACTAAGCTCTGCTCAATTATACTTCCATAATAAGTAATCTCCAGGTGAGAGACAGGCCTTTGCAACACTATTCCAGTCACTAGGAGCCATAGCTTCCTCTGATACTGTATCTGGTAACCCCGGCACAAAAGGGGAAATTGGTCCATACATAGAACAAGAAGTTTTCAACTCCTTCAAAGTCTTAAAAGGTATAGACTGATGACCATAGAGCATCTGACCTGGATTCTGAGGATTAGGCTGCTCAAATATAGGGTATAGACTGAATCCTGAAGTATCTTCCCCAGCCTGCCTAGCCTCATACAGAGTCTGCTGGAGTGGGGACAAAGGTACCATTCTTATCTCTGCTTGTTTAGGGGGTATCTCTGCTTGTTTAGGGGGTAATTGAAGAGGCTTATGAGAAACAGTTAAGTTCCCCATCATCCCAATCCCGCCGGCACTGTTCCTTGCTGCCTCCTCCTCCAACTCTAGTTCATATTTGGGAGGAAGCACATTGTCCGTAGGGCTCTCCCCCACAGAAGCTGTAGCCCCCGGGACCAGAGGAGGCAGTGGAGGCACTGATGGTATAGGGGGAGTCGTAAGCCTCTGGAAACCCTCCACTATCTGTCTTAGTTTCCCGACCACATTCACCCACTCCCTTTCAGGAGTGGGCTCTAGGCAGTCCCGAACCAGGGACCACAGACTGAAAGTAGGGATAGGACTTTTCTCTGGAACTTCAGCTATATAATGATCTCTAAGTTGCTTCCTTACCTTCTCCCATGTCTCCACATTTACTGTCCCCTCCTCAGGAAACCATGGGCAAGTTTCATTTACAAAATCCAACAAATCAAGAAGCTGTTGATGCCTTACAGAACAGCCCTATGCACAGAGCATAGCCTTAAGCATAGATACATATAAGTTCTTTTCCTGCGATCTTGAATTACCCATGTTTTCTACCCATCTGCTACTAAATTTAGCTCCTTATCTTACTTTCGCTTTCTGCGCACGCTTCACAGGAGTGTCCTTTCACCTGATAATTGTAGTTCCCGTACTCAAGCCCCACGTTGGGCGCCACATGAACTGTGTCCATGGCCAGTGGTGAACCTGAGGAGGGGGCGGTAAAGGATTAAAGAAAACAGACAAAAGAATATAGTTGGGACCAGGTGGCACTGCACCTGGGTGAGGACACAATGACACAGCCTATAAGCCGAATCTTTATTTTATAGTCATCTCACAAAGCAAAACAAGGGAGTGGTCAAGATGTTTTTTGTTTTGTTTTGTTTTTACAAACCCTTGGGTCAAGGGCTGATTATCAGTAGATCGCAGCGAGGGAGCTGCTCTGCTTCGTATGAAACCCCGACCTAGAAGCAGGTCGTCTATGAACGGTTTAGCACTAGCTTCCCCACGAATGTGTGTTGCGTGAAGGGTGAGGGGGCGGCCCCCTTTCTGGCTGCAACCCGTTTCCCAGGATGAAGGGCTCTCCGCACCGGACCCCGGTCCCGAGGCACAGCGGGGGACCGGCTATCCGAGGCCATTGGAGGCCCTCAGCACTGCCGTATAGTTACGCTGGGGCGGGATTCTAACTTAGAGGCGTTTAGTCATAATCCACAGATGGTAGCTTTGCCCCATTGGCTCCCCAGCCATGCACATACACCAAATGTCTGAACCTGCCCTTCCTCTCATACTGAGCAGGATTACCATGGCAACAACACATCATCAGTAGGTGCAATGTTCTTGGGAGTTTCAAATCTACTACTTTCCTGTTGTAATTCTCTGAACTCTGTCAAGCTTTGTTTTGGCAGCACTTGCTGCACCTCCCACAGCCCACATCCCTCAGCTGCCTAGGACTACAAGGTCAGACTATAAGGTCAAGCTTACATACAACCATAGCCTTTGGCTATAATTGTGCTGGGAGGGCTTTGCCCTCCACCCTGGGACTTGTATTTATGTGGCTTTGCCACAAGAGGACTGTGCCCTCTCATCAGTCCAAGGTTTGAACCTGTCCAAACGCTGTAGTCGCTCTCCACATTCAATACCTGTGAGTAAATCCACATCTGTCTGCAAATACTTCTTTGTTATTTCACTTAACAGATTGTTTAGCCTGAATATATAGTATAAAATTTGCCTTTCATTTTCAGTTAGTTTTTTCCAACATCCTTCTCTTCTATAAAGTAGATTGCCATTAATTTAATGTCTCTCTATTTCCAAGGAACACTTAAGTTCTTTACATTCATAATCCAATCCCTCCCACCAGTTTTCCATCTTTGTCTTCACTTTCAAAGTTTCTGCAACTTGGTTTTCATATACTGTTTCAGCATCTTTAAGGTATAGCATCAGGGGCACAATGTACCCTTTGAGCTTCTTCCTGTGACGAGCTGCAGCTTCCTCAATGAGTATCAGGGGCTGATCCTGATGGTCTGATAAGACCCTGCACTGGGGACACAGTTGCTCTGGATCCGTCTCACAGCACTGGGTCAGAAGCTCTTGGTGCTTCTTACACTGGGGTTTATCTTGCCTTTTCCTTTTTCTCCTCATGGTGGGAATCTGCTTAACAATATCAGTCATGTGACATAATTGAAGTTCTCTTGAAGTTCTGATCACGGCAGTGGTGGAAGCAGAAAGGACAGAGAAAGATGCCCTGTAGACCTAACCAGTACTGGTGGATGCAAGAATGACAGAAGTTGTGTCCACACTCAATGGTCACTGGGTCTCTCGGGTAATCCAGGCAGATGGGGCAGCTGGCCTCTGCCTTTAGCTCGGCCACGGAAGCCGCAAAGGCCATTGTGCAGTGAAGGTGTCTGTCCGAAGGCAACTCTCTTCAGTCAGTGTGATCCTCCAGGAGCTAGGAAAAGTGAGAAGCTGAGGTCTGCTCAGCCCTCCCTCTCTGTGGAAGTCAGTAGGAGCTTCCAAGAAGGGTTCTAGCCATCAGCTGATGTCAGTCTTCTAGTCACCCTCTCCTGTATTTAACGCCACATTGCCACAAGGAATATAGAGTACTCCTGGTCAGAAACCAAGCACAATCTAAGTCATATGTGGTTTCTGAATCCAAGATAGGATTGGCTTGCCTGTTGAGGTCCACGTACTGGTAGAGCAGCCCCATAGGAAACCAAGGCTCTCAATAGTGCTCACATTTCCCGTATGCACAGTCTCTGGATTCCCAGAGGAAAAACCTTGTACCAGTTTTCTATGGGCGATTCTGTGGACTAAGTCCCAAAGAAGGGTCTGTGAAGCCAGTCTTGTACCACTTGTGAAGTTACTGTTGTGACTCTGGCATTTATATACACCACTAAGAGGGTGAAGCTATTAAGACTTCACTCATCAGACTGGTGGCTTCTCCCTGGATGAGGGAAATGTGGGCAGAGTGGGGGTTAGAAGATATTCCGAGGTGCTGGTTGATGAGAGTGGGGTGGATCTCCCATGATTTAATCAGGTCAGCAGAGGACTGAAGGTGTTAATATGCATGATCTAACTTGGGCTTTTGGAATTCCCCCTCAACCCTCTCAAGACCCTTTAATCCCATCTTTGCTGATGAAGAAAATGACACCGGAAAGGCTAAGGGAGGCCTCTTTCTTTTCTCACCCTGGAATGTGTAACTCTGAAGCCCGTAAGTTTCACCCTCCTGTAATCTCCAGCACTGTTAGTCCTTCCCTCTCTCTCCACACTCAGGACATGGCATCCGTCTGCCACAGCACTTTTGTACAGGCAGGTTTTGTCCATGGTAGCTCCTTGCCCCTTATATATTGTTTACCCCTGTTGGGTCCGAGCTCCTCTGCCAGAGAGGGGACTTCCTTGGACGCTGGGAACTGGAAGAAAACTTGAGCAGCTGCAGGGAGATGGGACATGCTTTATTGCAGGGAAAGCAGCCAGGCACTGGCTGGTCGGTAGCACATTTATACTAACAAAAGAGGCGTTCTGCCAAGTAATGACATCAGTGTTACATAAGTGGCAGGTTATATAAGGGTGCGCTTGTGCAGTGTGTATGCTGATAATGTGTCATTGCTGTGGTGCATGCATATGGAAATATGGGCCTTCAACATCTGACATATTCTTGCCAGAGTCTCCACACTCCACCCCTTATACCGGATGGCTTTTTAGGGGTATCCTGGACCATATGCCAGCTCCTTGAACACAAAGCCCACAATAGTAATACCACAGCATGCTAGTACTAGAATTCTGATCCCCAATAGCAAAATTAAAAATTTCCCAGAGCCATGTTCCTGATAGTCCATCCCATCACTCATGGAAGGGGTCATGGGAAAGAGCTTGGATGAATTGTACTTCACTATCTCCTGTAGGGCACCAGTTACATTTTATCTGGTATATACTGAGTGGCCAGATTGATATGACCACCTGACGTTTGTAGGCAAATTAGCTATAATTTCGTGCTGAAGTTGCTAGAGGGCCAGACGATTATAAATGTCTGAATAGCACAACATACCTAAGTATCGTTGCTGATCAAGTTCATCCTATCATGTTGATGGCGTATCCCAATGGAGATGGCTTCTTCCAACAAGACAATGCGCCATGCCACGGTGCTCACATTGTGCAGTAATGGTTTCAAGAACATGAGGGAGACTTTACCTTGCTTAGGTGGCCCCCACAATCACCAGATCTCAATCCAATTGAGCATTTGTGGGACGAAGTTAAAAGAGCCATCAGGCAGCTGGTTCCACAACCATCAAATCTCACAGAACTGGACAGTGCCATTCATCAGGCATGGTGTCAGATTCCTCGAATCACCTTTCAACATCTCGTGGAGTCAATGCCATGCCAAGAAGAATTGCCGCAGTATTGAAGGCAAAAGGTGGCCCAACGAAGTACTGATGGGGTGGTCACAATAATCTGGCCAGTCATAATAATCTGGCCACTCAGTGTATATGTACAACATGCCACATGTAGGATGGCACAAATGCCCCCCTGTGCGGCAGTTAACAGACCTAAGTCCATTCTATTCTGCAGTACCACTTTGCGCATTTGCATAGTTTCATTCATCATTAAGGTAAGGGCTTGTTGAGTCTGATTCAGGGATTTAGCCGTGTATTTGGCTAAGGTTGTAACTTCTAATTCTATCTTTATTACTCCTCCTGCAGGGAGGAATACAGCTAATGGGTAAAACCACAAGGGAGTTTGTTTGGCTCGATGCCACCAGTGGTACATTGAGTCCCAATTATGGAGCATCTCTTCTAAGGTTTTAAGGATTTGCCCGGGAATATAGGGCCTATCACAGGTGTACTGTCTCCAATTTGTCGGGAGGTAGGGGCTGCCTTACCTCCCACACATCCATAAGTATTCTGGGACCATCATATCTACAGGTTTTATACCAATATACTGCTTTTTATTACATCATTTCTGGAGCTCAGTATTAATGGTAATGTTATGGCACAACTCTGGAGGAAGCCAGCCGACTGTGCGATACCTGTTGTGTCGCTGCTGTTCTATACACATTAAGGTTCTCTTAATTCTACTTGTTCCCCTAATAGCCACCCCCATCCGTTCTAAATTGCATAACCTATGAAGGGGCAGGTATTGCCTTGGTCCTGCTGGATTAGGGTTTCAGTGGCTTGGCATACAGGGTTCCAGGAGGTAGTGTTGAAGTCTTGAGCAGCTAACCATGTTCAGTTGGCAGTGGCCAGATGGATGTGTCATGGAAATCCGCCAGCCGCTCCTGGAGGAATCTCTGCATATCCAACAATGGGAAACATTATGCAGCCAGGCATAGGTGTGCGCCCACGATACTATGCTGTTAGCCAAGCTCACCTTGGTCGAAGAGACCATCATAGGGAGATCACGGCCTTCTGGCAAGATACAAGCAGCCATGTCTCCAAGAGTCAGCACTGTGGTTGCAATCGGGAGGGGGGGAATCCTGGTCAGTGATATCAAATGGGATCTACCCTTGATAGGGGCCTGGTCTTATAGGGGGAACTATGGGAAAGCGAGGAACTGATTATAGGGCAAAAGTCCATAGGAGAAAGATATCCTCTGCAGCATGAGGGAATGACTCTGCACAGGGAACTGGGGTGGCTGCCTTCTGAGCTCCAAACCCAGAGCCCCCAACCCTGGACTCCTCTGATACAGTTCCAGTCTACTCTGCTTTCCCTCTACCAGAACCCAAAGTGAGTGGCTGCACACGAAATTTTGTGCATTGGTCCTTTTAGAGGGTGCTTGCATTTCAGGTGTCAATGACTGGCAGACAGCAACCCTGCTGCTTTCCACAGCCAGGTGTTATATGAGCACCTTTCTCAGTTCTGGTGCTCTAGGCTGGAGAGATAAGCTTGGGGTTTAGACCTCAGAGTTCTCAATGGGAACCCCCCACAGCTAAGATATCCCTCCAGACTTTCAGCTGCTGCCTGTGGCCAACCCTCTTGCATATCCACTCTTCTACCAGTCTCTGTGTGGTCTCCACTTTCCATTCTTGGTTATTAGGGTTCTCTCCAGCAAGTCTTCAGTTGATTTTTCAGGGTGGTTTTTCTGTATTTTAGTTGTCTTTCCAGTTTGGTCCTGGGAGAGTATCAGTATGGCTTTCACTTACTCTGTCACCATTTTTAATCCTTAATATCAGCACTCTTGATGGCCTCTTTATATTTTCAAATTGTTCTAATTGTTGATTTCCCCCTGTTGTACTTGGTAGGTAGCCAGATCTGATACACAAATACCTTTATCATACTTTGCAATTACTCCTTTTTTAAGCTCTATCATTGGTCTTACAATTTTTCACTTTGTTGTTGTTATGCCCAGATTTCAAGATTCCCAAGAGCCCACCAGGGAGCCAGCCAGTCCGATGCAAAAGCAAAGAGTCCTTTATTTCAGGCTAGCTTGAGCTCCCCGTCCACCACACTCACCGACACAACAGCAAGCCAAGTGGCCGAGAGAGAGAAGCCTGATGGGACCAGGAGTTTTATAGGGGGGTGGAGTAAGGGCGGGAGAGGGGACTGTGGGCCCCACCGATTGGCCAGGCGCGAGTTGGTGTCTCATTACACAGGATGTGGTCATAGTGATGGCGTGCACTTCCCTTGATTATCATTGGTTAGTCCAGAGAAATCCTGGGTGTGGCTAGCAGAGGCTCCTTCCAGGAAGAAGCCTTTGCCGAGCACATGGCCCTGCCCAAAAATGGAGGACCCAGGGTAAGATGGAGGGCGCAGTCCCCGCCCCTTCACTGAGAATGTGGGGAAGGGCGGGGGCCGCGTGTCCGCAGGTTTGAGATCTCGCCCTTTCATTCCCCCCTTGTCTTGGAACTTCCGGCTCAATCATGAGACGGACTGCATTTCTATTCCACCAGAACTATCAACTGAACAAATGGTCCGGTGGAAGGGAAAGAAACCATTTTAGATTTAACAACTTATAGGATTTTTCTTCTTAAAATTTCTCTATGTCTATCAAAAAGCCAAATCAAGATTCCTTGAGGAGGCTTAAGCATTCCTGTTTGTTAGGCTAGGTTTAAACTTAGAGTCCGTTAAACTAAGCCTTTGTTTTTCTGGGTACCATTTTCAGCTGGACCAAGTCTCTTCTGTTATTTGGTTCCTGGTCTGGGCTGGGCATGGGAAGCAAGAAGCAGCCATGGGGACAGGAGACCTTCCTCAGAAGGGGCGAGTGTTCAAGCCCCTGCACCATTGGGGGCGTGAGGATCTGTGCCCCACCTCTGTTGAACCCCAAGTTCTCTCCTACTGGCCCCCAGCTGTGCCTGTCGTAGGTTGCCCCACCCTGTGGGGTCTTACCCGTCTTTGACTACCAGCCATCTCTGGGGCAAGTAGGGTGATGTGAGTTTCAGTTCTGTCTCCTTGTTAGCCTATGCCCCTGTGGCCTTCACGCCCAGCACCTGCCTTGGGTTCCCCTCGCCTGCTGGCGGGGCCCCAGCATTGATCACATATCTTGGGAAACCCAGGTTTCTTCTCCAGAGAGGGCCCAGCTTACGTCATTGGGCAAGAGACAGATCCATGGTACCAGCTTTTCATGAACCCAGCTTGAACGGAGAGCTCAGACAACAGCTGTAGACAATTGGGATCCTCTTGGCAATACAGAAGGCTTAAGTGCCTTCCCAGGAGGGAATAAATCCCTTCACATATTGCCAGATTTCGGAGGAATTACATAAGGAGAAAAACATACTGATCTACTCTAAGATTTTCTGACTTTCCTTGCTAATTCCTTTTCATGGATTTAAAACAAAACAGTAACTGTTGGTATAAAACCTTCTTTCTATGCATAACCATGCCTCAGACCTTCTATTCTAAACAGGCTTTTTTTCCAGCTTTACTACCCCTGACATGGGCATGGTGACTCAGGCCTGCAAGACAGTATTACAGGCTGCCAACTGTTAGCTGTCTCTCAGCAGAGACCAAAACCTGATGGGCACTGTTCCTTGCCCAGTTGGGCACCTGCCCTCTTGGCAGCTAGGCACCCTTTACTTTTGGGGGTCATCCCACACAGCTCCCTTCCAGGACAGCCAACATACATTCAAACCTGCAAAAGAATCAAAGGTTAATATAACATATCAATACAATGAAACATAATATTGGCATCATGGCCGCTTCAGGCAGCCAAATCTTCTGCTACTAAACATGTGATCCTATAAATTGTTCTTGTCTCTTTGGAGCCATGTCCATGAAGATGCAGGCATTATCTAAGTGTATTACACAGTATTGTGGGGGCTCCTGGTGACAGGAGTGATCGCGAGTCACGTTACCAGCATCAGGCAGGTCGAGCATGCCGTAGCTTGAGCTTGAGCGGGTTGCGTTGATCTTGATCGATGCTCCATTTGGTGATGAAGTCTTTCCGGGTCATGGATGGATCCGCTGACCGGACGTGAGTGTGATGGACCCAGGTCTCGACGCCGTCTACCTTGAGAGCAGTGGGGGTTGTCAGCACCACAGTGTAGGGACCCTTCCAACGTGGCTCAAGGGTTTCTCAGTGATGCCTTCTGACGTAGACCCAATCTCCTGGTCTGTGTTGATGAGGAGTTGGGGTTGGGCTGGTTTCGTAGATGGCGCGGAGGCGCGGCCAAATGTCCTCATGCGCCTTCTGAAGCCCTCTCAAGGAAAGAGATAGTTCTTGATTTTCAAATTCAGCGAGAGGGTCAGCTTTAAGGTTAGGAATGATAGGGGGTGGCCTGCCAAACATGATTTCATAGGGAGTAAAGCCCAGGGTGTATGGGGAGTTCCTTACCTGGTAAAGAGCATACGGTAAGAGAGCCACCCAGTCCCCGCCAGTCTCCATGGTTAATTTGGTAAGGGTCTCTTTTAAAGTTCTGTTCATCCTTTCTACCTGACCTGAACTCTGGGGCCTATAAGCACAATGTAATTTCCAATTTGCCCCAATAGCCCTGGTTACTACCTGTGTTACCTGTGAAATAAAGGCTGGCCCGTTGTCGGACCCTATCATAGCAGGAAAACCATACCTGGGTAAGATGTCTTCCAGCAGCTTCTTGGCCACCGTCTGAGCTGTTTCATGCTTGGTTGGGTATGCCTCTACCCAGCCAGAGAAGGTATCTATAAAAACTAAAAGGTATTTATAACCATACTTCCCTGGTTTAATTTCAGTGAAGTCGACCTCCCATTGTGCTCCCGGTTTGGTGCCTCTGAGCCTGGTCCCTTTTTCATTTGATCCGACTCTCGTGTTCATGAGTTGACAGGTCTTGCAGGCAGACACAACCTGATTTATCTTGGTATTCTCCTGGTGAATCTTGATCCCGGCATGTCGGATTAAGTCCTTCATATTCCGGGTTCCCAGGTGAGTGGACCAGTGCATATGTTCTAATACCGTGTCCCCGAGCCGGTCTGGCAATATAAGTTCCCCTTCTATGCCACCATCCCTTTATTTCCTGGGCTCTGGGGAGCTTTCTGATACGTTGCAATTCTTCCTGGGAGTACTTGGGCTGGTCTGGTAAGACTGGGTACCCTGGGTCTGGGAGTTGTAAGGCCATGGTAGGGACCGAGGTAAGGGCTACTACCTTCGCAGCCTGGTCAGCCTTTTGGTTACCTTTTGCCACCGGGTCATCGGCTTTCTGGTGCCCCTGGCAGTGGATTATAGCTAACTTGGCAGGAAGCCATAAGTCTGCAAGCAGATAGAGAATCTCCTGCTTATTTTTTATTGTCCGTCCCTCTGCTGTCAGCAGCCCTCTCTCCTGATAGATTGCCCCGTGGACATGAGCTGTAGCAAATGCATAACGACTGTCTGTGTAAACGTTAAGCCGCTTCCCAGCCCCCAGCGTCAGTGCCTTAATAAGGGCGATGAGTTCTGCTCGCTGGGCTGACGTCCCGGGGGGCAGGGCCTCCGCCCACACAGTGTCCATTTCAGTGACCACCGCTGCACCCCCGTACCTGCACCCGTTCCACACGAAGCTGCTTCCATCTGTGAGCCAGGTGGCCTCTGCATCAGGGAGGGGCTGGTCAGTCAAGTCCTTCCAGAGTCCATGTACTTGCTCTAGGATTCCCGCACAGTCGTGTAGTGGGGCATCTAAGTCAGGGTCGGGCAGCAAAGTAGCAGGATTGAGGGCTGCACTGGGGTGGAACCGCACTCTTGGAGGGTTAAGTAGGAGGCTCTGGTAATGGGTTATACGTGCATTACTCATCCATCTATCGGGAGGCTGCTTCAGGACTCCCTCAATGGCATGTGGGGTTGTAATCCTGATTTCCTGCCCCAGGGTCAGTTTGTCAGCGTCTTTGACTAAGAGCTCGGTTGCCGCGATAATTCTCAAGCACGGTGGCCAGCCGGCAGCTACAGGGTCTAACTTCTTGGACAAGTAAGCCACTGGGCGGTTCCAGGGGCCTAAAGCTTGAGTCAAGACCCCTTTCGCTATCCCTTTGTGTTCATCTACGAAGAGATGAAAGGGCTTCGTAATATCTGGCAGGCCCAGGGCTGGAGCACCTAGAAGGGCTTTCTTCAACTGCCTAAAGGCAGCTTCATCTGTCTCAGTCCAGTCAAACGCCCTTCCCTCTTTGGTAGCTTCATATAGGGGCCTGGCGATTTCGGCAAAACCCGGTATCCAGAGGCGGCAGTAGCCTGCCGATCCTAGGAATTCCCTCACTTCTCTTCGAGAGGTGGGAGTAGGGATTTTCAAAACAGTCTCTTTTCTGGCATCCGATAACCGCCGCTGCCCGCCCTCTAGGTTGTATCCCAGGTAACTCACCCTTTCTCGGCATAACTGAGCTTTCCTCGCGGATGCCCGGTACCCTAAGGCCCCCAGGGTGGCCAATAGATCTTGGGTCCCCCGCTCACAGTCCTTGGCTGTGTCGGCAGCAATCAGGATGTCATCTATGTACTGGAGGAGGGTGAGGTTGGGGTGTTCCCTTCTGTACTCACCCAGGTCCTCGTGCAGCGCCTCGTCGAAGATGGTGGGCGAGTTTTTGAACCCCTGGGGTAGGCGTGTCCAGGTCAGCTGTCCACTGAAGCCCTCCTCTGGGTCATGCCACTCAAAGGCGAACAGGGGCTGACTTTGAGGTGCTAGCGGTAGACTGAAGAAGGCATCTTTCAGATCTAATACTGTGTACCAGACTTTAGAGGGCACCAAGGAGCTCAAGAGAGTGTACGGGTTTGGGACTGTTGGGTGTATGTCCATAACTCTTTTATCTACTTCTCGGAGGTCCTGTACTGGCCTGTAGTTGTTTGTCTGTGGCTTTTTAACCGGCAGTAGGGGAGTGTTCCATGCAGACTGGCAGGGGACTAACACCCCCAAGCTCTTCAGTCTCCTGATATGAGGCTGAATTCCCTTCCGTGCCTCCTGAGGCATGGGGTACTGCTTGATTCTTACTGGACCTTCTCCTGGTTTTAGTTCTACCAGGACTGGGGCCCTGTGGGCAGCCAGCCCCACCCCCCCGTCTCTGCCCAAGCTGTTGGGAATTCTTGTAGCCATTTGTCCATACTGCCCTCTACTGGGGAAGCCTTCTGGTAGAGGCGATACTCATCCTCTAGCCTCATGGTCAGGACCTGAATGGGGCGGCCCTCCCCATCGGTGACCTGAGGCCCCCCTTGTCTGAAAGTTATTTAAGCTCCAATTTTGGTCAGTAGGTCCCGTCCCAATAGTGGGTAGGGGCATTCCGGTATCACCATGAAAGAGTGGGATACCCGGCCCGTTCCTAAATCTACTGTTCTTCGCATAGTCCATGAATACTGGCTCATACCAGTTACCCCTTGCACCCAGGACTTTTTGTTCGCCCGTTTTCCTTGCGGGGTGAGGAGGACCGAATGTTGTGCCCCGGTGTCAACAAGGAAGTTAACAGGAGTCCCCTCCACTCTGAGAGTTATCCTGGGCTCGGGGAGGGGGTCCGAACCCTGACTCCCCTAATCACTCAGTTCACCCAGCTCTAAGACCTTAACTCGGTCAGTCCTGTCTCCCTTCTCACCGGCCTTCTTCGGACATTCTCGAGCCCAGTGCCCTATTTCCATGCAAAATCTACACTGATCCTTCCGTAGCCCCGCCTCCCTTCTCGGGTGGTCTGCTTACCTCTTCCTTTATTGCTTGCAAGCTGTCGGAGGCGACGGTCTCGCTCCTTGGGGGAGTCCAGGGTCGTAGCCAGCAGGACCCTAGCCAGGTCCTGAGCTTGCCTACTGCTAGTGGCAGCCACGACGCGAGCTTGCCTGTCTTCTGGAGACTCTCGGTTATTGTACACCTTCTCTGCCACTGCCAGTAAATCCTGTAAACTCTTCTCTCCCAACCTATCTACTTTTTGTAGTTTCTTTTTAATATCCGCGGCCGATTGGTTTACAAAGCTTATGATCACAGCTGCCTTGTTTTCAGGAGCTTCTGGATTCATGGGGGTGTAGGTGCGGTAAGCCTCCATGATATGTTCTAAAAAGGCAGATGGAGACTCATCCCTTTCCTGCTGAACATTCCCCACCTTGGCCAAATTAGTTGGCTTTCTAGCAGCCATTCTGAGACCCCTCATTAGGGTCTGGCGGTAGACTGAAAGCCTCTCCTTACCTTCTGCCGTGTTGAAATCCCATTCAGGCCTAGTTAAGGGAAAAGAGACATCTACCTGGGCCTGGTTGGCAGTTGGGTTTTCGTCCATGCCTGGAACCACTTTCCGGGCCTCATTGAGGATCCTTTCTCTCTCTTCCGTCGTGAACAGAACCTGTAAAAGCTGCTGACAGTCGTCCCATGTGGGCTGATGGGTGAAAAGAACAGAATCTAGCAAGTCAATAAGTCCCCCCGGCTTCTCAGAAAACTTAGTGTTTTGTGCCTTCCAGTTATAGAGATCGCATGTTGAGAAAGGCCAATAATGATGGGGCTGGTTGCCGTCCGCATCCGGGGGTCCAGCGGCCCTTAAGGGCAGGGTCTTGATAGTGGAGTCGGGTACTGCGGCAGACAGTTCCCACTGAGCTCTCTGCCGGGTGAGAGGCGGGCCTCCTACCGGAACCGCAGCCACTCCCAGAACTCCGCCCCCAGCCACTCCTGGCGTGGAAGGAATGCCCCCCCGTGGGCTATATGGGGGAGGAAAGATTAGTTCTTCTTCAGTCCCCCCCTGCAGGACAGGGTGGGGGGGGGCCGAAGGCTGGGTGAGATTCTTCTTTTTCTCCTCTTCCGTTCTCTGCAAGGCAAGAATGGGCTTCGGCCCAGGAGGACGTGGAGGTAGGAAGGGCCTGAGCCAAGATGGTGGGTCTTCCTTGAGGTCCTGCCAAGTAAAAATGTAAGAGAGTTGACCAGGATGTCCCCCCCTAAGTTGGGAGACAACATCCCTGACCCGGCGGATGATGGGGAGGTCGAAAGTCCCCTCCAGCGGCCACCCGACGTAAAAAGTCGGCCACTCCCTGGAACAAAAAGTCTGCCACCAGTCTTTCCGAAACTCCGCACTGAGGTCGCTGGCTCTTTCCCTTACCTCTTTAAAATGATCGACCATAATGCTTAAAGGAGTAGTTTGAGTCTGTCCCATAATGTCCGTCCAGTAAGTCCACAAAATAAAACCGAAAAAACACAAACAACAAACGGGCCCGGAAATACAGTCTTCCAACTCCATGGAAGCAGAACCAAAACAGGCTTCCAATTCCATGGAAGCCAAACCCAAAAGTTAGACAATGGCCTTACGCCAAACCGGCAGGAGCGACCCGCCTCATCTCAAATCCGCGAGGGGCATACTCATCCCTCCTGGGGGGGCGGAACGTCTTCCAACTCTCCCCCTGCCTGTGGTCTTTCACGGCGCGTCCGCCTAGACCCCTCAGGCACTTACAGATTCCAGAAACAAGCTCACACAGAACAGAACACACAACGATACAGACACCTACTGCGGTCAGTCAGACTCTTCGGATTGAGGGTCCCTTGATGGTCTTGGGAATCCCGGGCGGGCCCCCAAATGTTATGCCCAGATTTCAAGATTCCCAAGAGCCCACCAGAGAGCCAGCCAGTCCGATGCAAAAGCAAAGAGTCCTTTATTTCAAGCTAGCTCGAGCTCTCCGTCCACCACACTCACCGACACAACAGCAAGCCAAGTGGCCGAGAGAGAGAAGCCTGATGGGACCAGGAGTTTTATAGGGGGGTGGAGTAAGGGCGGGAGAGGGGACTGTGGGCCCCACCGATTGGCCAGGCGCGAGTTGGTGTCTCATTACACAGGATGTGGTCATAGTGATGGCGTGCACTTCCCTTGATTATCATTGGTTAGTCCAGAGAAATCCTGGGTGTGGCTAGCAGAGGCTCCTTCCGGGAAGAAGCCTTTGCCGAGCACATGGCCCTGCCCAAAAATGGAGGACCCAGGGTAAGATGGAGGGCGCAGTCCCCGCCCCTTCACTGAGAATGTGGGGAAGGGCGGGGGCCGCGTGTCCGCAGGTTTGAGATCTCGCCCTTTCAGTTGTTATCACTAACCTTCTTAGGACCCATGGTGACTTACTATACATATTTAATAATAACAAGCAACAACAAAAGCAAAAAAACCCCACAAAAATACTCACAGCACCATTTCCTGAGATATTAACCATGCAGGGTTTAGCGGGAAACCAACTCATACGCATTCTCTCTTTTGTTTGTCGCCTGAGGAATGCGTGACTGATCATACAGGTATCAGCATCAAAGGGTTGTCTGGTCGAGATATAAAGTTTTGTTTGATAGTTGAGACATTTTTTCTGTGAACAACTTGGTTGAGACCTGAATTGAGATGGGAGATGTTTAAGAACCAAGGTTTGACTGTAATTTAAAATTTGACATATTAAATGCACAACTGATTCCAAATTGTCATTTAGTATGCTTTGTATTATCCTATATAATAAAAGCCCAGTGACTGAAATGGTAGAATGACCAGAATGACCACGGCCCCTGGCCCCAGCTGGCCCCGGCCCCCAGCGGGGACCCTCACCCCATTCCGGGGCCCCCATCAGAGCAGGCTGGCAGGCCTCCACCTGTGCACTGGGTCTCTATCCTATAAAATAATAGGATAATATGCAAATTGGCCCTAACCGCAGAACGACCACTAGACCAGTCACTATGGGGTGCACTGACTACCTCTTGGTCCCTCCCCCTGGCCAGCAGGCTACAGTCGCCTGATGGCAAACAGGGAACCAAGGGTGGGTGGCGGGGGACACGGGTGGTGCCTGGCCAAGGCCCTGACCCACTGGTCGCCCCACATGCAGAGGGTGACCCGTGGCAGAGGCAGGGCTGGCGAGTGGGCAGGAATGGCCAACCTCTCAGTTCCTTCCCCTGGCCGGTAGGCTCCAATCACCTGATGGCGAACGGGGAACCAGGGGTGGTGGCAGTGGGGGCGTGGGCGGGGCCGGCTGTGGGCAGCGGGGGAAGATGGCCCTGATCGCAGGCCAGGCCTAAGGACCATACCCATGCACGAATTTTGTGTGCCGGTCCTCTAGTAGGATATAAAACTACCCTCCATCTATGGAATGTTAAGCTGACACCCAAGACAAAGCTTCCCATATTCAGTACCCTACTATTTTCTGGTTGTACCCAAACAAAAATAAACAGCCAGTAAACTACTTCACCTCTTAAGGAAAGCATTTGCACTTAAAAAAAAAATGGGATGAGGTGGAATTTCTTCCTTGTTAAAAATGTTTCTAGAGCTACTAAAAAACTTGCATTTATAACATAGTTGATAAAAATATTCATCTGGATTGTACAAGAAGGGAGACAGGGACCACTGATAAGACATATATTAGACTTGGATTCTTTGTCTCCTGCTTCATTTGAAGCTGAACTCTCCTCGTTTTTATTTAATAACTTTTTAGAAAAAGTTTCAAGTTCAGTAGTCACAAATACAAAAAGAAATTACAATTCAACCTAATACAGAAACTTGTGTGCAAAATTTCCAGGAAACTGACATTGTATAGAAAGTTGGGTTAAAGATGACTTTGGTTTTGTTTCTTGTGTGTTTTGTTTTGAGGGTGTGGCTTTTTTTGTGGTTTCCTGAACTCAGCAAAGAAATGGTTATCCTGATGAAATATCAACAGCCAATCCACAGTAAAACCAGATAAAATTTAAGGAAGGATAATTACCAACAAAAGATTTGTCATTACTTCCTCCTTCCACATTTCCTTTTTAAACTTTTGAGTTTTGGGTTTTTAAAAAATCCTGAAAAGTAGACAGTAAAACAGCTCCTGGAAGAATTTACAACCAACTGTATGATGGTCTGGGAAGCTGAGGGGCTGGAGCAGGACCAGGACAGGTAGACAGAAAGGGGTCCTCCCGTCAGGCACTGTAGCCTCGCTGTTGACCAAGGGAGGGGGGAAGTCTTTAGTCAAAAAGGAAGAAGGGAAGATGAAGGAGGAGATGGGGAGAGAAAGAAAATATAAAAGATCATTGTTGCCTGTTTATATCCAGAGAAAAATGCCCAGCCCTGTGTGTTGGGGGGGAAGAAGCCCCTCAGAAGGGAGGCAGTGGGCTGGAGGGTGGCAGCCCTGGGATGACCTGTCCCCTAGCACCATAGAACCTGGTGGAGGCAGATGAGGGGTCAAGTTGGACATTAGTGGAGGAAGCAGGCAGGGGCCTCTAGGGGACACTGGCTACTGAGTGCTTGTGCTCCTCTTTGTGTTCCCAATATAGTTCTCATAGTCATAGTTCCCATAGTGTGGTGGCCACTGGTCCTGGTTCTGATAATACTGATTCCACTTCTGGGCATACTGCTGATACTGGTTATACCTGGTCTGAGGGAAGGTCTGTGTCATGGGGTGGCCACCCTAGCTCCCATAGTTGTAGGCAGGTGGTGGTGGTGGTGGAGGTAGAGGTAGTGGGGCTGTATAGCCCTACCTGTAAGCCCCCCCCCCCCGGTTATAATATGGCTGGCTATAACTCAGCTGTGGAGGGCTATAGCTGCTGACAGTGGGGGTGCTGGTACTGGCACTTGAGCCAGGAATATTGCTGTTCTTGCTGTAGCTGCCGGCCCTGGAGGGTTTTGAGCAGGGCCGTGAAGTGGCGGTGACTACTGTGGTGGTGGCTGTGGCTGTGGCAGTGGTGGCTGCTGATGGGGTGGATGATGCTGAGGAGCCCAGTTGTAGCTGCCTTGGTTGTTGGAGGAGTTGTTATCCTGGCTATTGTTACTCCAGTGGTTCTGGTTGTAGCCAACACCTCTGCTGCCTCCCCCCTCAGTTCTGGAAGCCTACTCGGTTGCCCCTGTTGGTGAAACTTTGGTTGTTATAGCTCTGGAAACTGCTGCCCCCCATTCCCCTGTGGCCCCAGTTATCAAAGGCTTTTCAGGGGATAGCATGGCCTGGCCTTGTGGCCTTCCTGGTTGTATTTTTTTCATATATATATATATATTTTTTTTACTGATTTCAGACAGAGGAAGGGGGAGGGGGAGAGAGAAACATCAGTGATGAGAGAGAATCATTGATCAGCTGCCTTCTGCATGCCCCTGAGAGGGGATTGAGCCTGCAACCCAGGCATTTACCCTGACCAGGAATCGAACCCTGATCTCCCGGTTCATGTGTCAATGCTCACAAGTGAGTCATACCAGCCAGGCCTTCCTGATTATATTGCCTGCTTCCTTCTACTGCAGCTCAATAAATAGCACCTCATCCAGGAAGTCCCCAACATCTGGCAATATGAAATTGGCTTTCATTTCAAGGACCATGTGTTCTGGGAAATCCTTCCCTTCCTCATTGATTCGCTTTATTGTTTGGTCTTTTAAGTCCTCCTCAGTGGGACAAATGACAATAGCTTTGCTTTTGAAGCCTTCAAATGGTCTCATTATTATTATTATTATTATTATTATTATTATTATTAATGTTATGTATTTTTAATCTTCACCTGAGGATATTTTTTTCCATTGATTTTTCAGAGTGGAAGGGAGGTGGGTGGAAAGAGAAACATCAATGTGATACACATCGATTGGTTGCCTCCTGCACATGCCATGACAGTGATCAGGGATTGAACCTGCAACCGAGATATATGCCCTTAACCGGGAATCGAACCCATGACCCTTTGGTCTGCAGGCTGATGCCCTAACCACTGAGAAAACCGGCCAGGGTGAAATGGTTTCATTTTTAGTCTCTATACTGACCCATAAAAATTTGTCTGGTCTGGGATATAGTTACGTTTCTTGTAGGAGGTGATCTGGATGAGGTGGTTGAGGCACTGGGTGGCTTGCTGGATCAGGACATCCTAGCAGTTGGTGTAGTTCTACTGTCGGTGTAGGCCCATCACCCACATCTTATCCATGATGGCACTGGTACCCAGGATGTTGCACTTCTTGGAGGGATCAGAGGCTGCATGTTTGATGGGCCATGTGGTCTTACCAGCAGTGGGCAGACCCACCATCATCAGAATCTCACACTCTGCATTGGTCTTTGATCTGATAGTGCCCTGGCTCCATTTATTCAGGGTAAGGTGCTGGATGATGGTAGAGTCAGGAAGGACAGAACAGTAGGGCCCTGTCATCTGCCTGAAGTTGAACTCCATTGCATAATTCTTCACCAGGACATGAGGCTAGAGTGCCTGGCTCCCCAAGGCTTACTTTTGAATTCGGAAAGAAATGCCTATCTAGTTCCCATTCTTGGTGAAGGAAAGTTCCATGTCAGTTTCACATTCAAAGTCTACAAAGCAGCCAAACACATCATTCTTTGAGAACTTGTCTTTGTAGTTTTCAAACTAGCTATTGGTGGACTTCTTCCCATAGCCATAGGAAAAAGGCTCTTCACTTGGCTGGGTGCTGCAGGAGTCAAGGGACCAGCTGATACTGACCCCAGATTCCTTACCACAGGTATGCAAAGCTCTCGATTGTAAGTGGGTAGCCACTGCTCTGGTCTCAGGCCAACTTGAAGTGGAGGTAGCAGTTACACGTGTCTATGGCAACAGGGATATTATCAAAGTCATCTTCATTCTCTTCAATGGGAGGCTGAGGAGAATGGCCCCTCCTATCCTCTCAGTGCTTGAGAAGTAACCCTGTTCTGGTTTTCTTCATAAGGTGGCTTGTGACTCTGGAATTGTCTGTCTGGCTTCAGTTGAGATGCTTCAGGCTGGAGGAAGCTAGTGTGTGCTTCTTGCTTCATCTCTGTGTTTACTTCCACTGGGCAGAAGGCCTGCTCCTGCTCTGTTTCCAGCGGTCTCCTCTCATAGCCTGACTCGTTCTTCTGTTTGATGACCTGGGTCACATAGAATTGATTCTGTCGGGTAATACCATCCATGACATCTTGTTGTTGTGTCCGGGCACCCTGGTACATTGTTGGTCTCAAGCTTTTGCTTGTCATTGGGCTCCTTAGCCTCCTTGGCCTCCAGTGCCACCTGCAGCCACTCAGCAAGCTTGGTTGTGAGGCCATGAGTGTCCCGGCTGTGGTGCTGCAGCCCCTTGTGAAGTTCGTTCAACTTCAGAGGCACACATCCATGGCCAGGGACCCCAGCACAGCCCACAAGCCTGGCTTGGCCTCTCAGGGCTCTGCCCCCCC